CCCCCCCCCCCCCCCCCCCCCCCCCCCACACACACCCATACCCACACAACACACACACCCACACCCCTCCACACAATCCCCCTACACACACACACCCATCCCCCACACCATACACACACACACACACACACACACACACACACACACACACACCCCATTATTGATTTTGTGCACCCATTTGAGAGTACATTATAAACATCATTTTCAGGTAAGATTTGAGTCTGATTTTGTATCTTACCTCACTGCCTCCAAACTGACCTCCTGATATTTATAACTTAAAAGTCTGAGCCTTTTGTTTTGAACCCTTAAAATACTTTGAATACGTTGAACTTATTAATCATTCACAAATGATTATTGAATGTTTAGAATAGTTTCTGTACATTTCTGTTTAAATTAAGAATTTAAAATTCTAGGAATTTCTGTTTAAATTAAGGGAAGCCATCATTACTTGAAAATATTTATACAAAATATGAAATATAATTGTGAAATGACAGAAAGATTAATAAAATGTTCATATTGGCAATTCAATTGTTATTAATTTATAGGAAACAGAATCTAAAGCAAATAAAATAATCAAATTATTTCTATCTGTGATTCTAAACTTGTATCTATAGAAGAACACCTGAATGTTTAGGTATCCTTTTTGAAGTAGGAATAGTTTTTACCTGCAGAAAATATGATTATATTATATAAACATAATGAAAACCAAAAGTAAAAAATCATGTATACCAACAAGGAGACCATTTTACAATAATCATTATTGAATATTTTATCTTTTATTTAAAATAATTTTTCCTTTTATATTTATTTTGTCATTTGACAGTGCAGTGCTTTTGGTAGATAAGAAATAGGAGGTGTCAAAGCTTGATGAAAAAATCATAGAGGAAAATCTTAAATTTAGAAAATCTTAAATTTAGAAAAATCATAGAGGAAAATATTAAATCTTAAATTTAGAAAAAATCTTATTTTCCTAATAAATTAGAAAAATATTGCCATTTTAAGATTTTAATGGCATATCTCAATATTTTCCCTGAAAGACAGTATGTGAAGGGATTCTTTGAGAAGAGCTGATTAAGAGAATAACCAGCAAATTAGATAACTATTTAATTTTAATAGTTAATGGAGGAATCAGTTACCATGGAATTCAGCATCTTATTCTAAAAATTGGAAAATTATAGTTAGGTAAATGTCTATTTGTAAGCTATAATCAGTGTGTCTCCTGGAAAGGAATTTTGACAGATTTCTATAAGTGCAGTAGTAACTGGAATTATGGTGCTTTTGGTCCCAGTTTATCCACCTGGTTTAATGGTCCTTCACCACTTTTAACTTTCTAATTGTTGAAAGGATGGATAAAACTCTAAATGTCAACTAGAAGAAAAAATTTACTGTGGCAGTGAGAGCCTACATGGAATCCCTAAAATATTTGTGTATTTGAGTACATAATGATGAAAATGCTTGTATGGTGACAAGTATAATAAGAAAATTTAAAATGCAAATAATAAACTAGTGGAAATATATTTACAACCACTATAAGAAAGGGCTAATAGCCAAAACACATAATAAGCCCTACAAATTAATAAGAAAAATAACCTGATAGAAAAATAAGTAAAGCATCTGATAACTCACAGAGGAAATATAAATAACATATGTAGCTATGAATGATGCTCAGCCTTACTGAGGGTAAAGAAATGAGCCCATTAAGGTTGGCAGAATTGAAAAAAATTTTAAATAAGCATGAGAGAAAACACACTTCATGTGCTGTTTGAAGTATTATAAAATGGTATAAGCTTTTGAAGAAAAATTTAATATCTATTAGAATAATAAAATCTTATATTTATTCACTCAGTAATTTCAGTTCTAGGAATTTAAATCCCAGGATTATTTCTAACAGTGAACGGAAAAGTGTGAACGAAGATATTTATTACAACATGGTTTATAGGATGAAAAAATGCTAATTAGCTAGATTTAGTCATTCCACAATGTATATATAATTGAAAACATAATATTTTCAAGTATACGCAATAAGTACATAAAATTTTATCTGTCAATTTAAAGAAATAATAAAAAATAAATTTAGGCCGGGCGCAATGGCTCACGTGTAATCCCAGCACTTTGGGAGGCAGAGGTGGGTGGATCATGACGCCAAGAGATGGAGACCATCCTGGCCAACATGGTGAAATCCTGTCTCTACTGAAAATACAAAAATTAGCTGAGCATGGTGGCTCACTCCTTTAATCCCAGCTACTCAGGAGGCTGAGGTAGGAGAATCACTTGAACCCAGGAGGCAGAGGTTACAGTGAGCCAAGGTCGCACCACTGCACGCCAGCCTGGCAACAGAGTGAAACTCCATCTCAAAAATAAAATAAAATAAAATAAAAGTAATGACAACATGAATGCCTCTCAATAGGAATTGATTAGCTATATTATGGTACATTTTCTAACCTCCTCCCTGTCCCACAGCCCCTTCCTTTCTCTCCCACCAGAATGTTATCTCCATGAGGGCAGGGATTTTTGTCTTTTGTTTACTTACATATTCCCAGTGTCTACAATAGTGCATAGATTTAATAGATAATTATTGAATAAGTAAATGGATGATTAATACAATTTTTTTTGCTATTAAAAAAATATACACACATATGCACTCTGACTTAGAGAAATGTTTATAATCTATTGTAACATGATGAAAAATTTCAAAGTAATGTTTATATTATGTTCTTATGTTTGTAGAGAACGTTATACATATATGTAAATGTATATGTATTTTTAAGAAATAGCTAACACATAAATATTTAGACATTAATATATGAGTGTATGTACTTATAAAAAAGTCTAAAAGGATATACCCTCTATTTTTTTTTTTTACTTTTTATGCTTCAGCATTTATCTACTTCTTACATAAGCAAAAATCATTTCAATTTTTTCCTACTCTAAAACTTTGAGATGTTATTATATAGCTAGTAAACTATAAATATGGAACTATA